CTTCATCATAAGGTTGGTCAGGGGGTTGGTCGGGGCAGGAGCCTGGAAGACACTCAGAAGTTAGAGGATGGGGGTGGGGGCTGTGTTCACATGGTAGACACAGCTGACCCCTCCATGTGCCATTTTACAAAGTGAGCCCTATCCGGCTGCACAGCTCCTTCCATTAGACTCTAAAGTTTAGCGACTAGTCTTCTGTGGAGCTGGGAAACCTGGCCGGTGTTTACCTGCCACGGGACCTTGGATGAGTCTGTTCCCTGGGCATGTCAGTGCTCTTTGTAGCCTGAGCCAGCCTTCTAGCCTCAAGGGGGTGTTGGAGAATCATCTAATGACATCATGTCATTGGTCAGCCAACAACAAGCAGAATGCTTTATAACTTCAGCAAACATTCCACGAGGACTTCTCGGAGCTGGGGGTGCCAGGGAAAGGGATGATTCAGAAGTCACCCCCCCAGGGGGGAGGAGCTAGGATTGGAGGAGGATCCGATGGTGGGAAGGAAGAGAATGCGGTCCCAAAACAAAGCAAGCTTTGTCCAGTTCTCCTCTTTGTTTTATTTTGTTAGTTAACCTATTTTGAATTTCAAATAACATAGAAGGGCTGCATTGAGAATTTTATGCTTGCAGGCGGCAACTAGGGTTGAGAAAATTAAAAAAAAAAAAAAGACAAAAGAAGGCCTAAACAGGTGTGTGGTGACTTGCCCAAGGTCAAAGGGTGAGCACTCTGAGTCCCCAGTCTACTCTACCCCCTCAGAAGGTGGCAGGGGGTGGTCCTCTGGCCGGAAGGTTATCTCAGCTAATGATTAGGCTGGCTGTAGATTTGGCCATGTGCTAAGCGCTGGGAGGGAGAAAGGCAGGAAAATCCAGGCATCGCCACACCCTCAAAGTGCTCAGGGAAACAAGACTGGGCCCCGAAAGCCGGCAAGGGCTTATGTGAGTCAGAAGCCCCGAGTTCAAGTTTGGACTAGCTTTTTGATGAGACCTTGAACAAGCGTGGCCCTCTCTGGGTCAAACAAAACCAGAGTATGGGCTTACAGGATCCTAAGTGCCCTCCAGACACCTAGAGAAAGAGAAGTAGGGACACAGAGGGGCCCTCTGAGAAGGGTAGGACAGCAGAGGAAGTGGGTGAGGGATCAGGAAGGACAATTGTAGGCAGGGAATAGCTTTTGGCACCCATAGGACTATTTTTTTCCCCTAAAAACGTGTTCCCCAACAAGGCTCTTCCATCAACCTGACCAAATGATAAAGCCCTTTCTCCAGGCCTTCTTAGGGCATTCAATCTGTTCAAGCGTGCAGGAGCCGGCTGGAAAAAGCCACTTCTGACCACAGGATCCTTTTTCCAGGAAGCACCTTGGAGGCAGAGGGTTCTGCTGGCTCTGTGGCAGGCTGTGTACACAGCAGTTCACAAGACCTTGGCAGGGCGCCTCCTTTCTCTTGACCTCTCCAGGTAGAATAGATTTGAACCCCCAGAGAACTGGAATATGCCAGCAAAGGCATGTTGTCTGGGCTGAAGGTTGCTGGGATGGGGAACTCACCTCTCTCGTTTCTTCCCGAGAAGCCCACAGGACAGTCACTACACTTTCAAGTCAGTTTCTCATTCCTATGCTAGTGCCTCCAGCAGGTCTCGTGTGTGAGCCGCCTGACTTGTGCAGGAGAGCCATTGGCACCTGCCCTGCAGGGTTTATATAGTGATCCCTTTCCTGCTTCACTGGTGCCTATTGTGAACTCGGAACAGAATGGAGTCAGGCAGTGGCACTCAGAGGCGTCCACACTTCTGATTCCCATGCCATCCAAGCCACTTGTCCTCAAACTCTGGCATGCACATATATGTGGGTGCCTATGTCCATGTGCTCACATATAAAAGTCAGAGGAAAACATTGGATGTCTTGCTCTGTCGCTCTTCCTTAGTCCCTGGAGACAGAGCCACTCACTGAACCTGAAACTTGTGTTTTTGTTTGTTTGTTTGTTTGTTTGAGTTAGACTACCCGTGATCTCCCTGTCTCTGTCCCTCTCCCCCCAGACTAGAGGATTACAGGCCCATGCTGCTGCACTTGACTTTTACATGGCTGTTGGGGAGCCAAACTCAGGTCCTCAAGCTTGCTTAGTAAGCATTCCTCCACTCTGTCACCACCACCCCCAGCGCCTTGAACTCCCTACACATGGACTCTGCAGGTTCTAATCAAGGAACCGCACATTGTCAGGCAGCTTCATTTGTTCTCTTGGATGGCTACTATTTGAACTCGGATTTCCTCTTCTACTGCCATGCCACAATGCTGTCTCTGCCCTTCCAGGTCTCCACCCCAGGACAGGGACCACTCATCTCGTGTCTTCTCTATCACCAGCCTCGCCAGGGCCAGGGGCAGGGCCTCTGAGAAAGAGAAGCAATAGACTCCCCCAGCCTTGGCACTGGGGACAACGCCTTAAAAGAGTCGAGGGTTGGCTTCTGCTCCGCCATCTTCGTCAACAGAAAGAGGCTGAGAAGGGTCCCTGAGCCCAGCCTGCCATCTTCCCTGGCTCTAGGTGGACATGGACCAGCAGTTGTAAGCAGCCAAAGCTGATGCCCGGCCCCCAGGGGGGCACAGGAGCCCCCACCATGAGCCTGGGCAAGCTGTCTCCTGTCGGATGGGTGTCCAGTTCCCATGGGAAGAGGCGGCTGACAGCAGACATGATCAGCCCTCCACTTGGAGACTTCCGCCACACCATGCATGTGGGCCGTGGTGGGGATGTCTTCGGTGATACTTCCTTCCTCAGCAACCATGGGGGCCGCTCTGGAAGCACCCACCGCTCACCCCGAAATTTCCTGGCCAGGAAGCTCCAGCAGGTGCGCAGGGTGGGGGTGCCACCTCGAAGGACGGCTTCCCCGCCTGCACCCTCACCTGCCCCACCTGCCATCTCGCCCATCATCAAGAATGCCATCTCTTTGCCCCAGCTCAACCAGGCCACCTATGACAGCCTGGTGATGAGCAAGCTCAACTTTGACAGCAGTCCTACCAGCTCCACAGATGGCCGCTATGGTTATGGTGAGGACCTGGGTTTACAGTCTCTTTTCCACTGCCAGAATTCAAGCCCAGAGAGATTGTGGGGTTCTGCCAGGCCTTTATAATAGCCTTTCCCCACAGCTCTAAATCTCCCAGTGGAGTCTGACCCCCAACCTATGCCAAGGATGAGGGGTGGTGGTGGCATTAGGGAGGTGGGTGCCGGCCTGCTTAAGCCTCCTAACTCTGAGGCTGAGATAGAAATAGAGTCTGTATTCTAGCAGCCCTCTAACTTGCTCTGTGATTTCAACAAGCCTTTCCCATCTCCGGACTCTCCGGCTAGTTCCCTGCTTCCTGTTTCCTTCCGTTAAGCAGCCTTCCGGTGTCAGAGGGTATCACTGTGAGGCTCTCTGAGCCCACTCTGATTTCCAGTCCTTGTTCTTCCAACTGCAGTAAGCACATGGACCTCTGAGCTCCATTCCCGGTGTCAGAGGGTATCACTGTGAGGCTCTCTGAGCCCACTCTGATTGCCAGTCCTTGTTCTTCCAACTGCAGTAAGCACATGGACCTCTGAGCTCCAGTCCTCACCTATATGGGTCACTTAGTCGCAATGCTAAGATTCTGTAAAGTCATGAGGCCCAGCCAGTCTGATCTATGCAGTGAGTTCCAGGACAGCCTAAGCTACAGAGCAAGAGCCTCTCTCAAAAAACAAAGCAGGAGAAGATTGAGTAAAGTCAGATATGCACTAGGCAGTTCTGTAACAGGTGCTTGTGACAGAGCTGTTATTTGAACAAAGGCTCCTGTAATTTGGCAAATTGATTCAGGTGTGAATGCCACCTTGGCCTTGGCAGGGGGACCATGTGTTACTGCTGCCCCCTCATGGCTATGCTCTGCATTACAGTCTTGCTGCCACTATAGGTCCAGGGAACTCCATCACTGGTGTCCGACCTGGAAGTCCTGGTTGGGCTGGTAATCTTTGGAGGGCATGTCCCTGTCCGGAGAACCGGTGATTTCTCCGTTCAGGCCCTGGCTTCTGGTTCCTACACGTCCCCACAGATAAACTCACAAGTTCACTTGCAGTCAGTCTCATTAGGGAACCAGGGGCTATGACCAAGTCCACACCAGGGATTGGGTGTAAAAATTCAAGCTGCAGGCATAGTTTCAAGCCCGACAGACTGCCTTTGGGCAAGGTCTGTCCCATCCCAACTGAACTTCCATTTGTTCTTCTGCAAAGTGGGGTCAAGGTTAAGTTTCAGAGGTCACGTGGAAGGCTGTGGGGTCCTTACATTGGAGAGGTAAGAGAAGTAGAGGCCTGCAAGGGTACAGCTTACCAAGGACCACATGGTAAGTCAGGGTTGTCCTGAACAGGCTAGAGACCCCAGCCTTGACATTCTCCCCATTTCTCTGCTAGGCCTGGATTCTGGGTTCTGCACCATCTCACGCTTGCCACGTGTGGAAAAGCACAGCAACCGAGACCGTGGCTGTGACCGGGACCAGGACCGGGATCATGTTCAAGACCAAGAGCAAAATTCTTTCCCCTGTGAGCCAGAGCTTCGACGCTCTGACTCTCTCTTGTCTTTCCGTTTTGACCTTGACTTAGGCCCCTCCCTCCTCAGCGAGCTTATGGGGGCCATGAATCTTTCAGAAGCCCCAGCAGCTGAGACCCCAATCCCTGCTGCCAACCCTCCCACTTCAGCAGCAACTCCCCCTGCCCCTACTGCAAAACCCCCAGCCCGTGCCATAACCACCCTAGACCCCGAGACAAGCCTCCCAGCTCCTGCAGCAAGACCCCCATCCCATGGACATTTCCCCAATGGGGTAACTGCTGTGTTGGACACTGTGGCTGAGACAAAGCCTAGTCCTGTTGGAGAGAATCCCCAGGTACCTCCCAACATGCCCTTTGGCAGGTGTGGAGCCAGCTGGGGGGCCAGCCGGGCCAGCCGCCACTACACTGAGATGGATGCTCGGCGGGAGCTGGCAGGGGTGCTACCACAAGTCCATGGCTCCTGGGAGAGCCTGAATGAAGAATGGAGTGCACCGCCTACCAGTGGCAGGGCCCCAGTGCCCAGCACGGTGCAGGTCAATGCCTTTGAATTTGCTGATGCTGAGGAAGATGATGAAGTCAAGGTGTGAGGGACTAGGCATGGGCTCCATGTCCTGCCATCCTCAGGACTCAGAGAGCAGAGGGACTGAGCTCACCCACCATCACCTAACTAGATCTACCCAACCGGAGTTAGCCCATATCCTTCCTGGTCTATGCAAAGCAGGCATGGGTGAGGGGGTCCCTACTGACTTGACCCAACTCCCACCACTGCATCTAGGCCCTTTGCCACACCCCATGCCAACCCCATGACCTCACAGTGTGGCTTTTGTGCCCCAGATGCCTCCTGGGTGAGGTGGGGGTGGGAGGAGGACCACACAGGGCCATTGTCTCTGAGTGGGACTGCCTGCCCCTGCTCATTTAGAGCTGCCCCAGAAGGTCACCACTGTGTCCTCAATAGCCCTATTCCAGGCTCCTCGGTTCCCAGAGAAAGGTCAGGTGTGACCTTGCAGCAGATTCCATCTTGTGTGTACCGCAGACCTGCTGCCTGTGCCTAAACGTAAAAGCTTTTCTGATAAAAGCTAACTGCCTAAGAAGCCAAGGGGGCAGCCCTGGCTGAGATATCCTTTCCTCTGCTGGGAGTTTGGAGAGTACAGGACTTCCTTTCAGGCCCCCCAGCTAGAAGGGGGGGGCAGACGCGGTAATGAGTAACCAACCTGGAATGCTCAATGATAAGAGGCCCAGGTGGGACCCTTATCTGCAGTTCCTGGAACACCCTGGCCCCAGGTGCCTGGAACCAATATCTGCCCCATAATCCCACGGGGCAGCTTGGCAGGTGCTCAGGTCACCAGGAGGAAGGCAGGTTTACATGTATAGGGTGGCTCAGGGGCGCCTCCCATCTTCTCTCCACAGTGCTACGCCCTGTGCCTCAGTTTTCAACCTTATATCAAAGATGGGGAGCACCAACTCACATGGGAAGTGCTAACAGTTCTTAATGTAGAAATAATAAAATTGGATTCTTTTATTTGCTGTTGACCTTGGAGTTAGTCAGAAGAAGGGCAGAAGCTGTGAGTGAATCCTGGGAAGTGCAGGACCTAAAGGCTGTGGTTCTGATGGGACTGGAACAGGTTTGTGAGCTGAAGAGCTGCATGCTCACTCGAGCTTGAAGGAGGAGATGTGGAGCCCATCCATGCCTAGGTAGCGCAGGTGGTTGTGGCCCAGCCTGTTGGGGAAGGTCACCGTGTGCCCGTCAGGTAGCGTCACCTTGAACTCGTCGTTATGGAAGGCCACGGTGAACTGCAAAGGGAGGGAGAATATCAGCAGGACCTGGGGGTGTCGGGTGGTGCTCCCATGTCCGGGCAGGAGGGCCATGTTTGGGCTCCTGTTTGACCTCACCTTGACCTCTGATCCTGGACTGAAGCACATGTGGCTCTCTCGTTGCTCTTGTCCCCAGCTGCTGCCATCTCGAGTGTTGCAGACAATGGTGGATTCATTGAAGCGGGGGTTAAAATGTAGGTTCAGCTTGTCTTGCCCCTGGCCCAGGTTAATGGTGAAGCTATAGGGAGGAGTGACAGGAGAGCAGCTTAGGATGGGGCGTGGTTGACCACAAGCTAGAAGAGTAAGTGAATATGCTGTGATTGAGATCTGTGCCTTGCAACTGGCTGTGCACAATAGTGGCTCGTTCTGTTTGGAATAGGCACTGAGGCTGTTGACAGGGTAATTGATAGTGACAACTTCAGGAATTAGGGTTGTCTGTCCTGGGAGAGATAGTTCAAGGACTGTCACCAGAGGGATGCAGGCAGGGCTTGACAGGATCACAAGACAAGCCTGGGTTCGACATTCAGTGTCCCTGAAAGTAGTACATTTGGGGTGAGGGATTCCATCAGGGGTGGGGGTTCTCAGACCAGGCATATCTGCATGTTTCTGCAAGCCAGAGACCTGGGTAGGTCCCTCTCTGAGCTCCTACTCTTTTATTGTTGTTGGGGTTTTGTCGTTATTTTATTTGTTTTTTGTTATTCCAGACAGGGTTTCTCTGTAGCCCCGGCCATCCTGGAACTCACTCTGTAGACCAGGCTGGCCTCGAACTCCTAGAGATCCTCCTGCCTCTGCCTCCTGAGTGCTGGGATTAAAGGCGTATACCACCACCGCCCGATGAGTCCCTACTCTTTGTGTCTGCCTGTCTCCTTCCTAATACAGGAGCTAGAGATTTATCACACAAAATTCTGGCATCACGCTATATATTTGTCAGCCTAGTGCTGACCTGCTGGGGAGTCGACTGCTGTGCTCAGATAGCGGGAACAAGCGGGACCTTTGCTGCCCCCTGGTGGCTGCCTCTGGTTAGAGTCACCAGGACCTGGTTAAGAGGGAGAACATGTACTCTTCAGTACAGCTCCACACCTGCTGGGGCAGACCGAGTGCCACCCTTCTCTACCCGTCCCCGTGGTGGCAACTGAGACAAGGAGCAGAGAGCACAGTGTCTGTTCGTACATTCTGAAGGTTACTAACCCAAAGGATGCAAAGACGGCTCCTTACAGGAGCCAGCAGGGCTATGGTAAGGAGCATATTAAAAAAAAAAGTCATTGCTTCCTGAGCCTTTGAGGGTCCCAGTCCTCGTCCTCAGCCCTGCCCACACCTTGCTCACCTGTTAACATCCTTGTGGATCTTGCCTTTAATCTTCAGGGTCATCCCTGATTTCATGTCCAAGTTTGTGATCTCAAATTTCTCCTGGAGCAACAGAAAAGTTCTTTCAGGGAATCATGAGAGGAATCCATTGCCCTGCCACCGTGCCATCCCGCTAGCACGCCATTCTGGATGACTCCATTGCGTCTCTGCCCTTGTGGAGACCACAGCACTCTGACTCAGGCTTCCCAGAGCCCCCCACCCTCTGCTTCTCTCTCTTCCACCCCACAACCCAAGAAAAAACAATGGCTAGGGATGGGGGGGTCACAGAATGGACAGCCTGACCCCTGCAGATATTACAGTTTCCCAATGCTTAAGTAACATGCTGCCCTCAGCGCACCCAAAACACGGGTGTAATGCACAAATAACCTCGTCAGACTGAGCATGGTGGCCCACACCTTTAATCCTAGCATTTGGGAGACAGAGGCGGGTAGATTTCTGTGAATTTGAGGTCAGCCTGGCCTGTGTTACATAGCAGGTTCCCAGCCATCCAGAGATACAGAGCAAAACCCTGTTGCAAAAAACAAACAAAATACCAAAACAATGAGATATGGTGATGCCTGCTTGCATTCCAAGTTAGGGGAGGCAGAGTCATGAGGATCCCTGGGGCTCCCTGGCCAGGCATTTTAGCCTAATTAATTAATTTTATGCTTTTTTGTTTTGTTTTTCAAGACAGGGTTGTCTGTAGCTTTGGAAGCTGTCTTGGAACTCACTCTGTAGACCAGGCTGGTCTTGAACTCACAGAGATCTGCCTACCTCTGCCTCCCAAGTGCTGGAATCAAAGGCGTGTGCCACCACCTCCCGTAGTTGATTAATCTTAAACTCTAGTCTACTAAGAGAACTTGTCTCAAAGGAAGGGGACAGCATTCCCTGGGGGTGACAGCCAAGGTTGCACACACGTGTGTTTGTGTGTGTGTGTGTGTGTGTGTGTGTGTGTGTGTACAGCCATACACATAACACTAAAAAGGAGGTGTGGGAGAATTATCAGAATACATTATGTGAGAATATAAAATTGTCAAACAACAAAATTAGTCGACAACAAAATCCGGGCTGGAACGTAGCTAAGTGGTACAGCACTTACCTAGCATGCATAAGTCCTAGAATTCCAAACCCACCCCTTTAAAAAAAAAAGTCAAAAGCAGATGTTGAGCACCATCTGTGTGACAGATGTTGAGAGAGACCCCAAGACCAGCAGCATCCACTTTCAAGCAAGTTGCAGGAGGTTTAGTATCCAGTTTGTGAGGCCCAAGCACAGCACCTGACCCAGGAATGGCAAAAAGGAGGATGGCCACCCCTGTATTATCTAGCTGTTCCTCTGCCCTTGCTTCTACCAGTAGTACCCCAGTTTCTTGGCAGCTGGTTCCTCTATCTGTTTTTTAAAT